TGCACGCCCGGCTGATTTTTTGATTTATTGTAGAGATGAGGTCTTGTCAAGTTGCCCAGGCGGGTCTCGAACCCGCTGGCTCAGGTAATCCACTCACCTCAGCCTCCCAAAGCACTGGGATTACAGGCTGAGCCACCGAGCCCGGCTGAGAGGCATTCTTCTAGTTGTAAGTTTCTAGGAGTTTTAATACAGAAAAAACTTTGTGGCCAAAATATGTCTTGATTGAAAGTTTAAGCTGAGTTTCTGGCCTTGAGATTGAGGGGGAGGGTGTCTTGGCCAGTCTTATCTTGCGAAAGCCTCTGACCGTGTTTCCATGTACCCACCTTTCCTAATCCTTGTCCTCTTAATGGTTTCAACAGGACAGATTGATTCACTTGGGAGCTGTAAGTACTGATGTGTTAGGGTGCAGCGCTCATTGTTCATTGACGCACAGAGTCCCAAAATGAATATCCAGAAGCAGGGTTTCCCCTTGGACCTCGGAGCAAGTTTCACCGAAGATGCCCCCCGGCCGCCGGTGCCTGGCGAGGAGGGAGAGCTAGTGTCCACAGACCCTAGGCCGGTCAGCTATGGTTTCTGCTCTGGGAAAGGTGCTGGCGTCAAAGGGGAGACCTCAACAGCCACTCCGAGGCGCTCAGATCTGGACCTGGGCTATGAGCCTGAGGGCAGCGCATCCCCTACCCCGCCATACCTGAAGTGGGCTGAGTCCCTGCACTCGCTGCTGGACGATCAGGATGGGATAAGCCTGTTCAGGACCTTCCTGAAGCAGGAGGACTGTGCCGACCTGCTGGACTTCTGGTTTGCCTGCACTGGGTTCCGGAAGCTGGAGCCCTGTGACTCAAATGAGGAGAAGAGGCTGAAGCTGGCGAGAGCTATCTACCGGAAGTACATCCTTGACAGCGGCGGCATCGTGTCCCGGCAGACCAAGCCTGCCACCAAGAGCTTCATCAAGGATTGCATCATGAGGCAGCAGATCGACCCAGCCATGTTCGACCAGGCCCAGACTGAGATCCAGTCCACCATGGAGGAGAACACCTACCCGTCCTTCCTCAAGTCTGATATTTATTTGGAATACACGAGGACAGGTTCAGAGAGCCCAAAGGTCTGTAGTGACCAGAGCTCTGGGTCAGGGACAGGGAAGGGCGTGTCCGGATACCTGCCCACTTTAAATGAAGACGAAGAGTGGAAATGCAACCAGGACGTAGATGAGGACAATGGCAGAGACCCTGCTCCCCCCAGCAGGCTCACTCAGAAGCTGCTCCTGGAGACAGCTGCCCCGAGGGCGTCCTCCGGTAGACGGTACAGCGAAGGCAGAGAGTTCAGGTGAGTCCCACACGCACTGTCCATTTTCTGTTCCCGCCTCTGAGCCCCGGAGTGCGAGCATTGGGAAGGTGATGGTAAGGAGTGTCTTTAACTGAGGTTGAGTGTGCTCTTGCCACAGGGGCTGGATTAGGGTTTTGTTTCCTATCTGTAACGCCTTCACATTTGTCAGGAGATATTTTTCATATTGGTGATGTTGAGAGTACTTTTATCAAAAAGGGCTAAAGCATAAGGCCCTGTAAGTCATTAGGAACATTGGGATTCCTGGAAGTAGTCGCTATAATTAAAATTTACCCTTTAGCAGTAAAATTTGTATTCTTTCACATGGAAGATGAATTTAACCAGTAGCCATAATCCTTTGGGTTTAATAGAGGAAGGAGAGGACATTTAATGCATCCATACTTAGTGAATTCAGGATTACTCCTTTTTTAAATGATCTTCTAAGCTTCTTCCTGGTGAGGAGTTTATGTGTGGGGCTGGAGTTCCAGGGCTGGCCCTTTCTACCCACAGCGGGATGTGGCCGTGTTATCATGTGGTTGCTCCCCAGTGCCTGGGTGTTCTGAGATTATTCAGAGTTGTGCTCAAAGAGCAGGTACAGCGTTGAACCTCGCATCTCCATTCTTTTTTCCTGTAATTCCTGTGTGGGTTCTGGGGATTTTATTTGGCTTGCGGGCTGGTACCTGTCACCCTTGTGAGCCGAGTGCTTGCATTTCCCGCCTGTTTCTCTAGAGCTGGTGACGGACACCATGGCCCTATAACTGAAAGCCTGGAATCCATGTGACCCCTGTTGTTTTAATTGGGAGTCTGAAAACACATTCCCAAGTGCTGGAACTCTGCTGTGGAGTTACCTAAAACCCAAATCAATTCTGTAGGCTTACTGTGACAGAGAGATTGTTTACTTGCTAATAAACACAGTATTAAACATTTCTGAGGCTTAAACTTCCTTTGTTTAAGTGATATGATTCAAGATGGACTGTTTTTGTTTGTTTTTGAGTTGGAGTCTCACTCTGTCGCCCAGGCTAGAGTGCGGTGCATGCTCATGGCACCCGCAGCCTCGAGCTGCTGGGCTCAGGTGATCCTTCTGCCCCAGCTTCCCAAGTAGCTGGAACCACAGGCACGTGCCATCATGCCTGGCTAATTTTTTATTTATTGTAGAGATGAGGTCTCCCCAGGTTACCCAGGCTGGTCTCGAACCTGTGGGCTCAGGCAATCCTCTCACCTCGGCCTCTCAGAGTGCTGGGATTATAGGTGTGAGCCATTTGCGCCTGACCAAGATTGACTGTTATAGGTAATTTTTCCCCCCTTTTGCTCACTGTCCTTAGCCATGTGCTATTTATTTATTTATTTTTTGAGTTGGAGTCTCACTCTGTCACCCAGACTGGAGTGCAATGGCCGCTCCCGGCCACCGCAGCCTCGACCTGCTGGGCTCTGGCGATCCTTCCGCCTCAGCCTTCCAAGTAGCTGAAACTACAGGCGCGTGCTACCACGCCCAGCTAATTTTTGATTTTATTGTAGAGATGAGGTCTCACCAAGTTGCCTAGGTGGGTCTCGAACCCGCGGTCTCAGGCAATCCACTCACCTCAGCCTCCCAAAGTGCTGGGATTATAGCTGAGCCACAGAGCCCGGCGCCACGTGCTATTTATTTAGCAAACTTTTTGGACAGAATGTTCCATGAGATTATCCTGTTAACTAAGGCTAGTGTAACTGACAGTTTATAAAACTTAACCTAAAAGTTTTCATATTTGGTTAGAAACATTTTAAAGATGGGACTAAATCTGAGGTCTGAACAACAGTAAAAAAAAATGATCTCAGTTCTGACTTTTTTGTGTGTGTGTATGTTGGCGTCTCACTCTGTCGCTCAGACAGGAGTGCAGTGATCGCTCCCGGCCACCGCAGCCTCAACCTGCTAGGCTCCGGCGATCCTTCCACCTCAGTCTTCCGAGTAGCCGGAATTACAGGCGCGCGCTACCATGCCCAGCTAAGTTTTTGATTTTATTATAGAGATGAGGTCTCACCTGCCCAGGCAGGTCTCGAACCCGTGGGCTCAGGCAATCCACTCACCTCAGCCTCCCAAAGGTGTGGGATTATAGTCTGAGCCACTGAGCCCGGCTAATTTTTTTGATTTATTGTAGAGATGAGGTCTCGTCAAGTTGCCCAGGTGGGTCTCGAACCCGCGGACTCAGGCAGTCCACTCACCTCGGCCTCCCAAAGCATGGGATTACAGGCTGAGCCCGGCCTCAGTTCTGACTTTTGATTTTAATAGTTCCTGAGCACCTTGCCTCCCCACCCATGTCTCAGTCTCATCCATAGGCAGAAGCTTTGCTTTTTCTCTCCTCTATTTGCTCTATCGTAAACAACTTTGGCTATGAAATCAGTAAACTTTCCCCATCTTTTAGCATCTGGCAGTGAGGACCAGGGACCGCGGGGTTCAGGAGTTGAATCCCCTCAGATCTGCTTGTGGTGTCTGGGGTGTGGTTTTATGGTTAAATCTCCGACGTCGTGGTCTTGTTTATCAGCACTGACAGGGTATGAAGTCCAACCTGTTTTGCTCTTGCTGGACGTTCTGCCTGTCCCACAAGGACGTGCAGTGAGGGCACGCAGGGTGGAAGTATCAGAAAGCCTAGCCCACCTGGGCTTACTGGGAGGGGGGTGTCGTCACCTCACAGTTTCAGATGTGGTTTGGTTGGAGCTCCACCCCGTTTTCTTTTTTCCCTGTTCCTTTCTTAGGTGTGGATTTCTTTTTTTTTTTTTTTTTTTTTTTTTTTT